TGAACTGGCCTTAATGATCTTACCAACTGTTTTGGAAGACAGGAAAGAGAGAGGTGTTCACATGCTTATAAAAACTCATGGTCTCTGATACCTCGCACAGAGTTTGTTCCAAACAAAACGGCTTCTCCATCAAACCAGTAGCAGTTCGTAAAATGCCAGCTAAACCTGAATCATAGGAGGGAATTTGTCGCATATAAAGTGAAGGAGAACATGAATTTGTTGGTTATGATAGGGAGTGTAAATCGCTCCAACATTATCCCATTAACAAAAAAAGTCTACTACCCTAACAATAACCAAGTCGTTTCAGTTTTGTTTGTTTGGTTGTTACTTATTGTTCCCTTGTACACCATTTTCCCTCATACTTCGCCTTTTCTGATGAACATCTCGTTTCTATTTTTCTATATTGTTGCGTTGAAACCGTCCTGGTTAACAAGGCTTTTGTTAAATAAGAAGATAACAACTGTTCAGGCATAGCAATTAGAATTCTAACGTAATATATATAATTCCTTCATTTTTGAATAAACAAATAGATGTAGCCAACACATTTCTGTTTGTTTCAGCTGAGTCTCGCTCAACGAATTCGGCTGCTCTAGGAGAAGATTTGAAACGAATCAAATGGGATGCGGGCTCTATTGTTGCAACTGTTTTAGCTGTTGTTCTCGTTCTAATCTCGATACTGGGCATTATTATGGCCATCAGACTGGTGAAGGAACGTCGTGCGTACCAATACTACACGTGCATTGATCCACCGGAACCAAACACACGAACCCAACTGGAAGCTTTGAGCACATGGTGTCGGGCCAGTTTTATCGGTGCCACGGAACGGCAACGAACCCGGCCGGTACGGATTTTGGAGGAAGAAAGGTTCCGACTTTTGGATGAGACAGAGTAATGTTTTCCGCCCCGGAAGTTAAGACTCAACTTATAAGGTATGAAAAAGAACATTTGTAACAAGAAAGCTGTCAATGTGCACTTCAAGATCAACAATAAAATACAAAAGCACTGTTTCTTGATTCCATGATTTCCACTGGCTCTGCTATTCACTGGACCCTCAAATCTATCCCCTCACTTTAAAATTTTTGATAAAATGCACCAAAACAATGACATCAGGTTTCTTAAAATAAACAGAAACACAAATAATGGTCTAGTTCCCTTTCGTTATTTTACTCTTTCCTTTGATTGGATTACTCAGTTGTGAGCAACGCTGTTTGATTGGAAAATTCGCTTTGTCATCCTCGGATAAGGATTGATATTTTCTCTTTCCCAAGCTGTACTCAGAAAAAAGTGGATTTTATTAAAGTTTTATTTTTGTATCAAAATGTAAGTGATGGGATTGCACCATATGAGCCTTGTAGGATTGAAACACTTTATCTACCTCGAAGGATAAAGATTTTGAAACAAATAGATAGTCATAGAAATAAATTTATTTCACAATGATGCGTTTGGAGCCAAACATAAGAATTTATTGCGTAAAGCAGTTTGGTTGTGCTTTTGGTAACAAATTGTTCAGAGTTCTTTAGAAAACTGGGCAAACGGAAGAACGACAGGTCTTTATGTTATCTTGAATGGTTTTCTGTTGTGAGACAGTAGAGAAGACGAATAAATATTTATAAGATCATGATCAAAAGTTTGGATACAATTTAGTCATATTTTTTTGAAATAAAACCTGATCGAGATACTGTGCAACAGGCACAGGATATGAGGAATATCGATTTATTCAGAATCATTGTACTGCACTAAAGTGCAAGAGAACCAGATTCGAGGAACGACTAGGAGCGGATTCAGTTCAAACACCAAAGGGATTGTATGCCTACCTCAGTCGAAGAATCAGAGCAACACCTGGTCTCCCGACTCTCACCAAAGATGGGGCACTAGCCGAAAAAGATGGGAATAAAGCGGAGATGCTAGCATCATATTATGCCACAGTGTACACTCCAGCCTCGAGCACACTGGCACATCTACTTGACACTGACACTGCACTGAACTGGACCCCATTTACAATCCGATAGGTTGCTCTGGAGCTGCATCGACTAAAGGTTCACCAGTCACTTGAACCTGATGGTGTGCATCCCCTGATCCCGAAGGAGCTGGCAGATGAACTTGCAGCGCCACTGTGTAACCTGTTCAACTTGTCATTCACTCAAAGGCGTTTATCGCGGCAGTGGAAGGACGCTGTCATTGTTTCACTGTCCAACGTTGGGGATAGGAGTGATCCTGGGAACTACCGACCAGTCAGCCTTATTAGCGTTGTGGGTAAAGTAATGGAGCTACTGGTGGATGTACGGCTTCGGCAGAATTTTGTGCCTCGGTCACCTGTGCCACCAACAACATGGTTTCCGGCCGGGTCGCTCATACCTCTCAAACCTGTTACTTGCGCGTGAATGCTGGACCGAGGACAAGGCCAAAGGACACGAAACGGACATCAGCTTCGTGGACTTCAGCAAGACGTTTGACAAGGTGCTGCACGACCTTCCTCTGAGAAAGCTGTTCAACCTAGGTGTAAGTGTGGTCATGCGGAATTGGCTGCGAGACTTCCTCATTGATCGAAAATCCTACGTCCGTGTTGGCAAATCGCTCTCTGCGTGATATTCCGTTTCCAGTGGGGTCCCCCAAGGCTCGGTTCTTGGTCCATTGCTCTTTGTGGTATATGTGAACGACCTGCCCGGTCAACTGTACAGCCCATCCCTCATGTATGGGGATGACATCAAAATCTAGCGTACATTCAAGGATCNTTCTGCGTCCGTGTTGGAAAATCGCTCTCTGCGTGGTATTCCACTTCCAGTGGGGTCCCCCAAGGCTCGGTTCTTGGTCCATTGCTCTTTGTGGTATATGTGAACGACCTGCCCGGTCAACTGTACAGCCCATCCCTCATGTATGGGGATGACATCAAAATCTAGCGTACATTCAAGGATCCGAATGATCGAAGTTCTCTTCAAGCGGAGTTGAACAACCTGGCTAAGTGAGCGGATACCTGGGCTCTTCCAGTCAACACAGCAAAGTGTGCTCACCTGCACTTGGGGCTTGATGACTCAGAGGTACTCTAGAACTTCCAGGAAACCACAATGCGTAGAACATCGTGCGAATAAGACCTGGGTGTTATGGTTACGTCATCACTAAAGACCCAAGAAAACACCGATCGGATCTGTGCTAACGCGTAAGAATTCTGGGGCCTATTCGGCGGTCTTTCAACCAACTCACGATGGACGCTTTCAGGCTGCTGTACGCTTCCCATGTCGGACGAAGACTTGAGTATGGTGGTGCGGTGACACAGCCCTGCACGGCCGGTGAACTCGATAAGTTGGAGCGTGTACAACGTGCTGTCACTAGACTCGTTGTTGGCATACGCAGGACCAGCTATGAAGGTCTTCTACAGGCTACTGGTCTGTTCCCAATTGCGTATTGAAGCCTCAGGGGAGATCTCATCTACCTGAGGAAGATCCTGAGTGGTGATATGGGCCCGGAACTGCAACGGTACTTCCCTTTACGCTCGCGGGAGTACTCTCGCACTTTACGGAAACTCCAGTCAGTTTGTCTTCCGTTAGTCTACCGACTCTCGCGTACGTCAACAAAACTCTGGAATTCCTTTCCAGCGATTGTGGTGGAAGAGAAGAGAGACGTTGCTTTCAAACGGCGTCTGGATGAGCACCTGAATGGGCTATGGAGGAACGAACACTTGTGATCGGACCTTCGACCCAGTGGTGATGGGGCTCACGCGAGCACTCTGCTCTCTGCCATCAATTCTGAACAGTCAAGACATGCATTTGTGGTGCTTTGAAATCCCCAGCTTAGCATGCTCTAAATTAGTCCCCGTATATGTTCAGTCTGTTCCGCATGTATGGTTGTGTGCACCGTATCAGCTCCGGTTGCTTGGAGTACTCACTTTTGCTCTTTGGTGCTTGGTATCTGGGTTTTTCAAAAGGATTTTCACGAATCGATAAATACAAGCATAAATGGAAATGGAGTACTAGTAAGTGGAACTTCACAGAGATCAACAGACTTCTGACGTGCAGACACGTAAGCCTAACCAGTATCCTCTTCAAATGCATAGGGTAACTGATTATATAGCAGGCATTTAATCTTTTGCGTTACAACAAGGATTCCTAAGGTATAGGTCTGGTCTGACCGATCTTCTGTGCTACCTGGACGAAGTCACAAGAAAGCTAGATAAAGGCCAAACCATTGAGGTTTTCTACCTTGATATTAGCAAAGCTTTGGATCCTGTGAACCACAGGTTACTCCCACACAAAACCAAAAGCTGTGGGATAGAAGGAAATCTACATAAATTAATAACCACATTCCTCATGGAAAGAACTTTCGCAGTGAGAGTAGGGGAGATCAGTTTTCAGGTCATTTGGTTGATCAGTTGAGTGCCTCAATTTTCGGACCGTTACTGTTCCTTTTATTCATCAACGAGTAAGTCGATGTATAGCATGTCATAAAACGTTGGCTTCTGCGGGTCAGCGGAAAATCGCTCCCATATCTAGAATACAAAAAGGACGGTTCTTTTAAAATCATTAGGAGTAGAATATTTCCAATCTCCTCATGTTCGTTAGGGTCACGGCTCGGAAAAGAAATACAACTGCACGTTCATGTGTTTACAAGCTCGAGACGTGCACTTAGAGATAGCTGACAGTCTCATTACCGGTCCGTTTATCCTATGTCCGTTGAGGTTCATTGGCAGAACAAGATCTCCAGAGAGCCAGTGACAATGGATTAAATTTCGTAAGCGCTGTATCAGAACCAAGGGATACAATTGGACACTTAGACGGACACAAGATCAATGACCGCATTGCATGTGAATAATAAAATGGTTTTTAAGCCCTGTTTCCTCAAGTTATTGGGACAGCGTATAGGAAAGAATGATCCGCCCAGTGCGCGAGGTACTCTTGTGTTGACAAAAGAGCAATTGTTGCACGAGGAAAGGTTGTAAACTTGTTTTGTAGAAATCGACAGAATACTGTAGTTGAAACAGACGGAGATGGATTCTTACCAACGGCTGTGATGCGGATGGGTGGCAGCGAGATATGAATAGATGTACTTCGTCCGTGTCTATTAGGAGGCGACTAGCACTCAGGTTATAGTCTTGGGATTATGCAGGCGTTCTGCTGTAAGTCCTGTACATCCCAAGGGAAGGGAGGTAGCATGCGTACTGTTGTAGATCCCGTGAACTCCATCGTTTCGTAATTTAGCGTAATTTAGTCTCCAAACGTTGAACTTAGTATCAAATTGGTAAGCATTCCACCACGGAATTTCAAGACGCTCGATTAGGCATGGCCAAAGTCCGTGCTGAGCATTCTGAAAAAGGTTCCATGTATACGTGCGAGAAAATGGAAACAGGATTGTGGGGATCAATTACAGGTAAGGAGGAAGTACGGAACATGAATAATCACAAAAAGCCGATGCGCTCCTCACCTTTTTCAGGGGAATTCACTGAGAATTTATGAGGGTAAAGACTATGGTCCATATAGTTTACACATAGATTATTCATCAACTAGTTTTAGTGAGCAAACTCACTGTGAAAACGAATTGGCCCGAGAGCTAAACTCCATAAATAAGCAATAAGCAGCAGGTTGGGACCGAATGCCGCCATATTATAGCTAGTATCAAGTGTACTACTGGGAACGGTAACTAAATCATCTACCGAGCCCATAATCACCAGTAGGATTACAGACAACTGGGGAAAAGCCACATTATTTGCTACACGAATGTCAAGCCCTAGGCAATAAGCTTATTGCTTATTGCCCTATTGTCCATAAATGTTATTCGCAAGAGCCACAAGTCGTCCTACGAGAATTGGACGGACGCTGGATCGTGACTTGATTAACCCCGCTGTTTGAATTCTTTCCATTTCAGTTCGATAAAATGGAATCTCCGTTACGGCTACCCGTTTGG